GATTAGTCATTTATTTTTTTTTTTTGCAAATGTCAAAATATTTTTTTTAAATTAATTAAAATTTCAATTTTATTTTTATTGATATATAGTCCGTGGTACAGACCCCCTTTTTATCGAATTATTAACATCCCCCTGAAATTTCGTAAATAGTTTCATCTCATCGTAACCTACAACTATTTTATTTACGAAAACTCTTAGAATTGGTGCGTTTTCAATCTGGAGGAGGGCAAATTTTGTGTATTTAATTAGGTACTTACAACTCGTAAATACCCATTTGCTTTCTACTTGTGTTGTAAGATTATTTGATCACAAAATCGAGAAAAAATGCGGTCTTCAAAAATATTGAACCGTTTGGCGTGACCTACACTTCCGAATTTTCAAAATAACGAGGTTATACATTACAAACGGACCAATATTTTTGTAGGCCACTTTTTTTATAGATTTTGTGATCAAATTATCTTACGATCCAAATAGAATGCAAAAGGGGATTTACGAGTTTGGTTGAAAACGTCCCAATTTCAAGAGTTTTCGTAAATAAAATATTTTTAGGTCACGATGAGATGAAACTATTGGCGAAGTTTCTGGCGGATGTTAATAATTCGATAAAAAGGGTCTGTACCACGGACTATAAATGTGCCGTCCATTAAACACTTTTTGGGAGGTTTTTCAATGTACTTTCATTACACTAGATTTTACTTTTAGATCTTTATTATTAAAGTTTATCGTTTTGAAAGTACACTTCAAAATAAATATACAATATATCGAAAAACAAAAACGAGTAAACAGTTCCTTTGAAATTAATGAAGTGTACTAGAGTAAAAAAAAAAAAAAGTGCGTATCAAGTATTCCTTAACAATTTTTTTTTTTAAGTGTATGCCACTGCAACAAATGAACTAACCGTGGATAATAAACATTCACTGCATGAAAAAAAAAACTATTTTGTTGTTTACTTCGGCGGTTTAGATATCCTATAGTGTTATCCAATAGTGTTGAATTTATATCTAAAATAAATCCCAACAAGAAATCAAGACTCCTATAAAATATGAAGATAAATCCCTTTAATGATCTGTCAGATAATATCTTCTTATTCTGTAATAATGAGATACCATACTGAATATGCTCCCATAAGTAAAACAAGCTTGTAAATAAATTATGTAGATCATAGAAAAAATCTAGACGGAGTTAAGTAATATGGTATCCAGATTTTAACTATTTAAAAAAAAAATGAAGAAAAAAATAAAGCATCAGAGAAGCGTTTTATTATCTAGACCAACGTATACTTTTTACGTCTACAAAAACATATTTACATTTATTATCTCTTAGTCAGTTATCAGAACATGATAGTAACCATATGATGTAGGCATGGGATTCCAATCATATACATTATCAATATATACTGGATTTAACACAAGAAATTTTAGATTTTATTCGATGGAAATCTAAATATTGCAATAGTTCCTTTTTCAATTTAGATAATACAAAAACAGGAGGGCAACAGAGTTTATAAAATTCAACTTAACGTTGAGAGTATATTTTAGTCCCTCAATTCAATATCAATATAATTTCATATTGATTCAATTAAATATTAATATACATTTAATATCATTCAATTCAATATAACCTCAAAACTTTAACTTAACTCTCTTCTTTCTGTAGAATTTTTTTTTTTTTAATTTTAATAATCGTTATGAATGTTACTTTAATTATACAAAGGAACTTATTAATTATGAAAATTATCTGCACTATAAATACACCTCTTAAAAACTATTTTTTTGTATGAGAGGCATACTTAAAGGTACTTTGAGATTTGGCGTTTAAGACATGTCAGGTCATTACAGTAAGGATAAGATAGATATTAAAAAAACATTAAATAGTTCATTGATACAACGAATTACATTAAAATCTTTAGAGCTGTTTAAAAAAAAAAAAAAAAAAAAAGTATAATTAATAAAATAATGTACTTACCAGAAATTCGATTTTAACAGAAATTTGTATAACATTCCAGGGATAAACCTACCTCTAATTCGTAGTATTTTTATAAGAGTTTTTTTATAGTATTTTGTAAAGAGTTTCGGGAGTATTTTTTTTTTTTTGAGCCCTGCTGTTAAAAAAAACACATACAGACAGATAATTTTGCGACACATGGCTGTTTGAACTAAGAGGACCTTGAAACATGTATGTTCTTGGAAAAATCGGATCCGAAAATTATCACGATCAAAAAACTTGATTCCTGACTGGATAATTTTACATACAGGTAAGTGAAAGTAAAATTATATAAATATAAAACTATTTTTTACATACTGTGTTTTTTAAAATTTATTTTATTATTTAGTATTTTTTTTTCGTTAGAGTTTAAAAAAATAATGATTACGTAAATTTAATTAGTCCTCAACCAAAATTAAATAAATACAAAAATAAGTTAAAATTATCAGTAAGTCAAGCAATTTTTAAAGTTAAATTTAAGAAGATAATTTAAAAGTAAGCAATCATCAAACATATGTAAAACAAGTAATTTAATTTGGGAAATGATTGAAGAGTTAAATTCTTCTGGTTTTAAATATTCATCATAATAAAAATAATTTGAAATTCGGTGTTACATAAGAAAATATTTTTAAAGTTCTGTAGAGTACAAATTCAAAATTCATATTTATTCAATACAACTAAATACAAATAATCAGTAAAAAAAATATAAAATGGAGCAAAATAAAACAGGATGCAGTAGCAGACAAACGCATTGCATGTCTTTATCAGGCACCAGCGCATGTAGATAAAGTAAATTATCTTTTCCTAACAGCAATCATTCAGAAATGGTTTCAGTAGGGAAATAACTTAATAGGTATATATTTTTTATGATAATTACATTACCAAAAAAAAAAAAAAAAAATGTGTGTGGCCGTATGGACAAATAATAGATTGAAATGCACTTTAATATGACCATTATTTTTGCTTCATGGTCTCGTACTATATTTAACATTTGAAGTTATATAAAAAAAAATATTTAGAAACCAAAAAAAAATCTATATATAGGTTTTTAAACATGCTAAATTGTGGCCAGCTAATACAAATAAAAAATATTTATAGAAATAATTACATGTTGGAAGAATGCTGAAATAAGACATAATAACATTCAAAAATATCTGTTTCCTCATAATAACGTTTACATATAATATTAAATACTAAATATATGTACATATAAAATAAATTTTAAATATAGGTGATGATGGAAAGGGAGCGGTGAAAACGTAACAATTAGTAGTAATATTTAATTTATGCTGAAGTTTCAACCCATAAATTTAAATTAATGGAATGTTAAGAGCTGTATTTATTTTTATATATATGTTTGACATGTTTATACAGTTACTTACTAAAGTTTTGTAGACCTGATTAAGATATGCAAAATAAACCGAAACCTCACCATAAAATATTCACTAGTAATGTGCTCAATTTTGACTGCCATCTCCCCCCCGAAAATCACCTTAAAATTAAAATAATATCATGAGCATCAAAATCATAGTTTAACTCTGTACACCGATTAAGGCTTCTAATACCCTGCTAAAAACAAAATATTTTACAAATTACTACATAGCAACTTGACGCATTCAAACTTTATAGGATTATTTACACTAAAGTAAAAAAGCATTCCATATATAAAAAAAAACATTCATACTTAGAAACCAGATAATCATAGTTCTTTTCATGTGCAAAAGGTGATAAAAAATAGCAGTTTTAAGATTGAAGGATATTAAAAAATAAAAAAAAAAGAGGAAGTTGAGAAAATTAAGGCTCGTATCATTAAAGAAATGGTCTGAATTTCCATCTTTGATTTAAAGGAAAAAAAATTGAATGAAAAAAGGTAATTAAAAAAAAAGGGGAGGAGAACAATATGACACACAGTGTCCTTACCAGTGAACATTTTCAACTAAGCTTGAATCATATTTGGCCTACACATATCATACACAGCTAATCGGCATCAAACACATATAATAATTACATATGACGACAAAGAATAAACACATAAACATTGATTGAAATTTGTGAGGGTAACATGACGTCTGGGATTTGTCCACTCCGCGTCCTGACAACTCCCTTCCCGATAAGCCGTCGGAGAAGATCAATTAAAAAAATTGAAAAATATAGACATATGTATAAATATAATTAAAAAAATAATAATAATTGACCAGCAATAAATTATAAATTAAAAAAAAATTAGATAAAATAAAAAATAAATACAAATCAAAGGTTTCCATATCCCTCAGGAAGACATGCTTCAGCACTGATCGCTGTCGAAGCGATGTTCTCCCGAACAGGGAAAATTGATAAGCTCATATTTTTTTTTCCCTTCATGTAATAGGAAACACATATTAAATTTACTTTGAATTAATTAATTTGTTTCTATTATAATATTTTTATTAAAACTTTTTTTTCATTTTTATATATTTTTTTTCCAGAAAACTTGAAATAATTCCTCAAGATAAAAAGTGAAGGGTTTGAAACAGTTATTTTTATTAAAACAATTCGACTTAAAACCGTTTTTAATAGATACATAAGGTATATACATTTTTTTATTAAACTGTATCTTATTTCCTCTTAAATAGAAATTTAAAGAACAAAATATATGTAACGTAAAATATATATAATGGAATTATTAAATGATCAATAATTAATATTACTTTTAAAATATGTATATATGCGGTTTGCGGTGTATATTATGAAGTCAAACTTTTATTACGAATCCGAAAATTCTACTTTCAATGAAATATATTATAAACAAAAACGACTTATACGACTTGTAAATATTATATATATATTTTTTTATTTTAAATTATAAAATGTAACTGTTTCATCGTACCCTTGCCATAATTACCGAACCTCAGCGACGGCTTGCAGATGGGAGTTGTGTTTACAGAGGGTAACCAACAACCAGGCGACATATGCCCCTCACAGAATTGACTTTAATTTGTTTTGTATGTTTCCGAGCGGAGGTTGTTTGTTGAACTCACTCATTTTTGCTGCTGTTTTTACATTGATGCCGGGGTGATGAAGTTGGTAGTGTGGCTGACTCACAAGAGATGGGCCGGAGTGATATCCATGTAAATCTAGAATTGTGTTGCTCCCAGTAGAAAGGCCTGAAATATAGGTAGAAACAGTTCAGCTGGCTTTTACCCTTTTTTTCAACATCCGCGGAACAGCTAATAAGTTTTTTTTTTAAGTTTTTTTAAAAAAAAGAAGGTCTAATTCATACTTTTCAAAAAAACCGTTTAAAACCATTTAAGATCAATGAAAGAAGAAAAAAATAATAAATAATAATGCCCATAATTTTCAAACCCTCATATGATATTTGCAAAAAAAAAAAAAAAATTAAATTTACACTGGGCATGTTGCTGAAAAAAAAAAACCTATAAAGTGAATTTTGTCAAAAATGCTCTTAAACAGTTGCCATGAAATTTGTTTACAGATTCTTATGTATCCAACACTCAAACCACCAAATAATTCATCAATAAAAGCCTTAATTTATTATATTTAATGACTAATGCATAACTTGTTTTTTAAAAAAACTAAGAAATGATCAGGAATGAAATTTCCAATGTTAAACAGTCCAATTAAACAAGTCATCAAACTCAGAATAAATACTCTATTCTGTTTTCAGAAATTCCCAATACAGTAATTATAAAATATATTTATGATTGGTTTCATCATTCAAAGAACATTTCTTAGTTTTAATTGTATATTAAAACTTTCCACCGCTTTTAATTTAAATATTAAAATGTACATCATGCATATAAGTAACATCTGCAAAAGTTTAGCTTATATAAAAATTGTTTAAATTGATAAAAGTATAAAATACTATTATTTTTCATTTTTTTTTTTCTTTTCAGATTATTCTGTTGGTTTTATTAATTTTTTTTTTGTTTGTTTATTAAGACTTGAAGCTTCATACAAAATTAGCTGTCATGCTTTCAAAATGAAAAATAAAGCAAATGTTATAAAAGATAGCATATAAAAGGTCGTATAAAAACGTTTCACACGTATAAAAAGGAAATTCGTGGGGTAGGGATGGAGGGGGGTCCAGTTACCAAATTTTAAGAGCGCTCTCCTCACCTGAAAAAAAAAGAGATAATATTTAATAAAATTATATTAACATTATAACTACCATAATTATTTATATATCAAATTGAAAATAATAAAACAACACCAAACTATAAATTATTAATTTACCTAAGGATTATATTATTTTTTGCCTAATATTCATAGAAAAAAAAAAAAAAACCTGTATCAGTACAACCCATGAAAGGTTTTGAGTTTATTACTTTGTTAGGAAGTAATGTTTTAAGGCCAGCGGTTGTGCAGGGAGGTGATCGGGCCAGGATCACAGTCAACTGACAGGTTTTCCCCCTTAATTATTTAATTGAATTTCCCACTTTATAGAGGCTGGGAAGTTCTCTCGACCCTAGGTTCGATCCACGGATGATGAAAAATTATTAGAAAATAATATTCATAGAACATTAGAAATAAAAAAAGAAAATCTACACTTGTGCTATGTTAAGCATATCTTTACTAATGAAGCTTTATGGTCATAAGGTCTATGGAGCTCTGCCAAAACCATGAGCATCAAGAGAATTCAGTCATTTCAACCGAAAGCATTGCGGCAAAATAGTGGATGCACCATTCTTTGTTGTGAATAACTAGCTACAAAAGGACCTGGACGTCCGAATAGTTTCAAGTAGCTCAAATACTACAAAAAAATCTATTACAGAACGACTTATAACTTGAACCCTTTAGTACTTAACATTCATATATAGATATTCATTGTATCAATATCTTTCTTTAAAATAAATAAATGGTACTAGTTCACAAGAGTTCCGCACGGATTACGCATGGTTCATAATCACTTCGGTCACACTTGTTCATGGAATCCCGAATGCCTTCGGGTTTATCCGACAGAGAACGAAGGCGACCGATCTCTTGAATTAGTTATTACGATTAACTTTCCCGCCATTTAAGTACTTCTATAACCTTAAACATGTTTAGTTATATTAATGTTATTTAAGGTATTGACTTAAATTCGAAATTTAGACTACACATTATGAAATCTGAATCGAACATGTACATATATTATATATCTGTGAAAAAGGAATATTAATAGATAAAAACATTTAATTATTACATCTCTGAATGATATTTCACAATATTTTTCTTATTTATGATTTCTATTATTAATTATCTCGGAATTATCAGATATTCTTCGTCAGTTCTTTTCTCAATACGTTAATTCCTTTCTCGAAAATAAACACGATTTTTTTATTTTACAAATGACTACAATAATCGCCATTCAGATTATTTATTATCCGAAGGATAAAAAACTCTTTTATACAATTTATAAAAGATAATATACAACAGTATATGCGTATTTTTTATAGCCACTACATGTAAGCACGTGTCAATAAAAATTTTATTTCTAAAAGCATTTTTTTTTTTACAGGCCTTGAAGAAAGGACTCAAACATTATTTTATATATGTTTTCTTTTTCTTTCACACTAATGACCGTTATAATGCAAATTAATAATTAACTAATTAGTAAATACATTTTTAATAAGGAAGTTCCACGAAGGAAAACGTTTTTTTCCTTCAAAAATGCATAAAAAAGGATGAAAAGGTACAATAGCTGACGTCATAAAAGACGACAACATTCGGCTGTTTTCGGGATTCCATGAACAAGTGTGATCGAAGTGATTGTGAACCATGCGTAATCCGTGCGGAACTCTTGTGAACTAGTACCCTTAAAGCCGGTTTCAACTACTAACATCGATGAATAATGAATTCACCATTATTATGAGATTAGAAATAAAATATTAGAATGATTGGAGAAAAAATTAGTTCTGAACACCTTGATTTTTTTTTTTAAATTAACTCATTTACCTAAACAGTGCAACAAGCTAATAAAAAGACTTCCCCTTATACAAGTATCCTTTATTGTAACGTCACATTCTTACGTTCTAGTATTGAGATTAAAGTAAAACTTTAAATTTAAATCTTGGGATTTAAATTTAGGACGCACCAAGGCCCGCATTTTTGTCGACTATCACATACTATCAGGAATATTTTTTTCAACAAAGTAATCGGATTGCTGAGCGAGCTAACGCGTGTACAAAACAGGCGTCGCTGAGCAATCTGATAAAATGAAGATTAAGAGTTCGAGTCCCGGTGCCGGGAGCTTTTAACACTGGCATTGATCTCCCGCCCTCTCTCCTAGCCCTGGAAAAACCCTGTATAATTCCCTTCCCTTCCCGAAAAGGCGAGAAAAAATCTAATGATTATGTAAATCGATAAAGTTTATAAAAGAAAATTAAATTAAGAATTTCAACCCATTTTCATTGTTATTTAAATTATTTTTTTAACGTGCCACTTCTGACATTCTGTGCCCCTAGATTGGGTATAGAGGGTGCAGTGGTAAATTTGGCCTTTTAAATGTCGACAATTTTTAATCCCTTATATATTATTACTTTTTTATTTCTGATTTATATGTTTTAAAGTTTTTTTTGTTGTTCAACTAGTATAACTAATTTAATATATGGAATACAATGATATAGTTGTTTAAAATTAAAATTAAATAAACTTTTTTTTTTTATGATTAAACCTCAGCTTATTCTGGAGAAATAATTTTGGTCAAAATTATAGAAAGGTAAGAATTAAACATGTAGGGTTAAAGTTGGTGGATTTATTTAAATAAAATTTAGATAAGTTTAATGAGGAATTACACGACTGAATAGGCAACCAGTATTTATCAACTACTATATTAAATTAACATTTAATAATATATATTATTTTTTTTAAATCAAACCGTACTTTCGTCTAGTACCCGATTTCTACTGCTGACTAGTGGCATATGGGAGGGGGGGAGGGTAATGGGACTTGTCCATCAGGGATTTTTTTTTAATAAGATGCTAACTTTAATAACGGACATAATAACCTCTTGTTCCGTTTATTAAAATTGACAGCTGTTATAAAAATAAATAATTAATAAATGTGAGACTGATGAATATATTGATTGATATTGATATTGTGTCATCCCAAAATACTTTTTTTTAGTAGGAAATAGCTCTTAGCTGGCAATCCATGTGGAACGGGAGCCCTCCGAGCAAATTGAAAGAAATAAAAAAAATCAGTAAAATCAGAGGAGGTTGCCTTGGCGAGACTAAGGATAGGACATACGAACCTGACACATTCTTACCTGATAAGTAAGCAGCCAATACCAAAATGCTGCAAAAGGACTTTCAAAATATAGTCGAAATGAATTTTAAGTGTATAAGACCTAGCCTAATTTATAACAAAACTTATCTGCAACAAATTATTCATAGGGAAGAAAGTATTTTGAGTTAAAAATCCTAAATAAATAATTCTATCTAAATATGAACCTCCAGCTGTTGAGAAAAATACCTCAGAAACCCAGCAATGAACAAATAAAGACAAAGGAATAACCTAGGATGGTGCCTGGGTGGGAGAAGGCTATTTTTATTCAGACGGAATTCGAGTAGGAGTAGACAAATTCTGAAGAAACACTCCGTTAGAGTCAGTCAACACAGGTTTAACCTTAGTATAAACATAAATTCCAAGAATTAGTCTAATTTGAAACTTATAAAATCACACTAACAATTAGCGGCGCAATTAAATTACTCCTTCATTTATTTTTTTTTATTTTATTTTATTGAGATTTACAACTGTATTATATGGAAAATACAATAAGTAAATGTGACATTGGTAACATGACATGTACAACATGAAGAGAAACTACCCATTGGTAGAACTCAAATTAAAGTTCTATATTAGAAGGTCCCGAGGCCATCTTCTTTTCAGAAGCCTCGAAGGATTATCAGGAATCGAGGAGGAAGCAAGGTTTGAAACGAGAGGATTCGGATGGTTCTGCTGTTTGTTATGAAAGGATAGATATCTGGATTGGGCCAAATCGGAAACATATGGAACATTAAGATCTTTATGGATGATTTTATTTGTGACAAAGTAAGGAGCGTTGAGGATTTTGGATTGTAAGGATTGGATACGAGAGGAATTCGATGGTTTAGTCGAGCCCCAAAGCTCCATTCCGTAAGTCCAAATAGGTCTTATTATTTTC